CTAATAATGAAAGCTTCTGGGAGTTTTTGTCCAAGTACATCTGGCGACACAAGGCTGGTCTACAAAATACCCTCTTGTGTACCCACTTCCATTCACAGACACCAAGCAGATCAAAACATGAGAACCTGACTCCATTTTTCATCAGTTAACCAATTCTCACCTAAACACAAAGGAATTGTCAGGCCTGTTGTTCAACAAGTTCTCTAGATTCTCTAGCTACAACTATGCTAAAATTACTGCTGATCTGAAGCCCAGTTTAAAAGTTGTAATTTTTTGTTTGGACTGCCCCTGTTTTTTAGAATCACCTTATAGACTGTTGATTTGCTCTGCCAGCACAAGATTACAGTTGCACTTTCATGCAGCAATTAATATATCACTGTAGACCAAGACCAATGTCATCCACATTATGATATTCCTGATTACTAAATATAAATGTGAGAGCAGGACAATGAAGCAAGCTGACAGGAAAAAAAGGTTTATTCACAATATGGTGTTGGAAAAGAGTTTTATGAATAGGATAGACTATTAAAAGGCAAATAAGTGGGTCCTAGTTCAAATAAGCCCCAAACTTTATCTAGGAGTGAAAAAGACTAAACGGAGACCATTGTACTTTGGGATTTCAAGAGAAGACATTATTATTATTATTATTATTATTATTATTAGTATTAGTAGTAGTAGTAGTAGTAGTAGTAGTAGTAGTAGTAGTAGTAGTAGTAGTAGTAGTAGTAGTATCATTATCATCTTTATAATCATCATTATTATCATCATCATCATCCTCTTTTCACTGGAAAAGAGAATAATACTGAGACAAGTGGAAGGTAGCAGGAAAATAGGAAAACCTAACATGAGATAGAGTGACTTAATTTAAAAAAAAACATGGCCTTACTTTCCAAGACTTGAGCAGAGCTGTTAAAGATACGTATGGCCAATTGGAAATCACTAATTTATAGGCCTATTATAATTCAAAAAAATTAGAAGCTGACCTGAGAATAATTCTACACGTGTTCTCGAAGGCTGTCATGGCCGGGATCCAATAGAAAAACACAAAGCAACCAATTCTACACATGTTTGTTTAGAAGGAAGTCCTGTTATACTCAATGAGGCTTACTCCCACGTAAGCAAAGGATCATGGGCTAAGTTGTATTTAGGAACAGGGTCTGTACTGCTAATCTATCTAAACTCATGTCTCTTGTGCTACAGTTCTCAAGATACTGACTAAATATTAATTCTAGCCAAGATTTATTCTCTGGGTTTCATTTATTGCTGTGTGTTTTCAGCCAATCCATTTCCTTAAAGCGCCAGGGCTTTAAACTGCAAAATACAAACTATATAACTGTGTATGGAGATTGAATATTTAAATGCTCGAGCCTCCCTGTAATAAACACACACACAAAAAAACCCCAAATCTGACTATTTCCCACTTGCCATTTCTGTGTTTATTGTGGGAGAACTAATATCCCTTACAGCTGACAGCTTAATTGTTTAAAAAGAAAGACAAAACAGAAAAAAAATCTTGAAGAATTGAGTAGTACTATGCAAATATTTTGCCTTTTAAAATGTGTTTGTACCTATACAAACATACTATAAAATTCAGAATGAAGAGGAAATGCAGATTGCTCGAAGCAAAGAAATTTGAACATTTTTCCTATTTTCTAGTGGCATGATCTTTTGCAGGCCAAACACATGAACTATCATTTAGCCCTTTTGGAAAAAAAAAATCTATGGTTTCAATCCACTTGTTAGTTCTAAAGTAGACTTTCTGAATCAATGCACTTTACATAAACGCTGACTTCTCAGTGTCCTACTGACTCATTGAAATGACCAATTTATTATCCCCTGGTGCATTATATTTATTATGGTCATCTTCCTCTATCAAAAAGCTGTGAGCTTAGCCACCATATTATTTTATTATTATGGATGGTGGCTTGATGAAGACCACTGGCTGAGCCCATGGCACAAATGGAGCTTTAACCAGCATCCTAAGCCACTCTCCTGTTTAGCAAGTATTTGCTGTTGTTTGAGAAATTGTGTGCTATGTTATGGCCAGAGAAGACGATGGAGTCAGAAGGTCACTCTGTTCCTCAACCCTTTGTGTGTGTGTGCGTGCGTGCGTGCGTGCGGATCTGGTCTCCAGGTGTCTGTGTGAATTTCATTGTATGTGTATACTATGTATATATTTACAATGGCAATAAATGTATTAGATTTAATCACAGCTCATGTACGTTTGGGGACGTGGTGGCGCTGTGGGCTAAACCGCAAAAGCCTGTGCTGCAGGGTCAGAAGACCAGCAGTCGTAAGATCAAATCCACGCAACGGAGTAAGCTCCCATCGCTTTGTCCCAGCTCCTCGCCAACCTAGCAGTTCGAAAGCATGTAAATGCGAGTAGATAAATAGGTACCATCTCGGTGGGAAGGTAAAACGGCATTCCCTAGTCATGCTGGCCACGTGACAATGGAAAACACTCTTCGGACAGGCGCTGGCTCTACAGCTTGAAAAGCGGGATGAGCACCACCCCCTAAAGTCGGACACAACTGGACTGAAAATGTCAAGGGGAACCTTTACCTTTACCATGTACATTTGATAACTGCATTGCAGGAAGAAATTCAACAGATGTTTTCCCCTGCAGAAGAGAAATGCTTTCCCTATGCCAGAAAAAGCTGAAATTCATCCACTGTAGCTCAAAATAGTATAAAGATCTAGGGAGGCAGGGGGACAAGGAACCATAGAAATTAGTATTTGATGCACCAGGAGTAGGAAGGAAGCAACGAATTTATGGCTAATTATAGCCAATAGTAAAAGCTGTGAGTTAGAAACTTACCTCCTTCTTTAAACTTACTTAGGGAAAGTCACCGAACTCAGCCTCAGTTGCATCTTCCTACATCTGCAAAATGGGTACAAGGAATAAGTTGGTGTGATGTAGCTGTTAGTGTTGAAGTAAGTCTAGGAAAATGTGGGTCCAACCCCCCCCCCTGCACTAGCCACAATGCTCACTCTCTGAGCCTGAATCTTCTGTTTAGAGCAGGTGGTTGCAGATATTGTGTAAGAGCAGCAAATTGTTTGTCATATAACTCATCACAGTTGCATTTTTATGGCCAAAAAATGGAGAAAAGACCTTGTGAGATATTCAGTCATGGAAACCAAGATAATTTTATTTGCCTAGGATACTCTGTGCATCATCTTTGGGAAAGGATAGTTCCCTTGTGCACCAAAATGTTTGGGGAAAGCTCTGTTGAGTAAGCCTCTACCCAAGTTATCCCCCCCCCCCCGAAATATGGGGAGGATGCAAGTGGATAGGGAAACCAGGTGTGCTTCCCTAAATTGTAGGAGAAAGGAGATGAGAAATATGCAATAAAATTAATAACTGCAGAGCTTGAATTCAACAGGTGACAAATAATTACCTAACCTGTTGCATGTAATGGGGGGGGGAGACATAACTAAGCTTTTGACAAAAAACACACACTTTAATATAACTTTAGCTCCCCCCCCTTCCAATGAATAAATTGATAAATATTATCCATAATCTCTTCTTACTACTTTTTGGGAACTAAAATGGTTCTTGGGGGCATTTCCAGATGTGTTTCCCCAAATTCTAAACTACTTTTTTTAAAGATTGATTCACCAAGAACAATACAATAAGATGTAGCAGACACTGTTGTCTGGAACTAAAATTGCCCAGCTGAGCTGGGGGACTGCTATGACTTACATTAATTAAGTACTTTTAAGAAATCTCTCTCTTATCTCTGAGCAATGGTTATACTTTGCAAAGCAGTTGTAAGGACGCTGTTTGTAAATATCTCAGGCACTCAAAATGAGCATATCTATGCATACTGCTGATATGAGTCTTTGCTGTTCCGCCTGCGGGGACACGACAAACTTAAAAAGCACTTGCTATCTTCTAAATTCTATAAAGTAAGAAATACTGTATACAAAGTACTGTATAACCCTGGATCCAAGAGCACATACGGTTTTCTTCAGTTCATGAATTTGAAACTGGAATATTAAAGAGGCAAAAAGCAGGTAGACAAGCACACTTCAAGTTCTTTCTAATATATTAGCGATTGGGAAAGTTACTTTTGGAGATGAAAATTCCCAGAATTCTTGTGATCGCCTTGAGTGGGCGAACGTGAAAGCTGAAGTCCAAAGACCCCTCATTTTTTAACCCCATCTGTGATATATATCGTAATTTCTCCATCTGTGATATATATCGTAATTTCCACCCCCCAAAAAGTCCGTTTTTAAAGAAGTTGCAATCCTATACTGTAATCACTTACGTGAGAGTAAGCGGGATTGAAATCCTTGAATTTACTTCTGAATAGATATGTGAAGCTATGGGTCGTTCCTTGAAAGTAAAGCTGTCGTTATACGGACAAGTTCCTTGGGAGCAAGCGCCACTGAACTCAGCGGCGCTACTTCCTGAGTAAGTAAACACGCGGGTCTCGTCGACCCCCAAGGAAACTTTATTACTCAAGTAAACAGGCATAGGATCGCTGCTCAAGGATGCGTCTTGGGAATGGGGCGGGGAGAAGTTTATGATTTACGCGTGATTAACGTCTTCCCAGCTGTGATCGGAGTTGTTTTTTTTTTTCAGGACGCCAGCCAGAAACACGCGCAGATATTAATCCCCTGAGGAAAAAAAAAACCAAATTAAAAAGCGAGGTAGGGGAGGTGCGGTGCTGTTCTCTCCGTTGATCGCCCCGGAAAGCAAGGCTGCCCGGCTGTTTTGTTTACTGCAAAGATGGAATCGGGAGCCTTTTCGCCTCATCTCCCCCCATTCCCTTTCCCTGGAGAAACATATAGTAATCCAATCAGGCAGCCGAAAATGTTTCGCTCCGAACCTCCTTGCTCGCACGCTTCCATCACATGCAAGCCGCCCGGCGGCCACGCCGGGAGACTACAACGCCCAGCGACCCCTTCTGCTCCCTGATCAATGGACCTTATTTGAATAATCTGTGAGCTCTTGGACTCAGGCCAATCAGCTGTCAGGGACCCATGATAAATCGCAATGCATTATTGATAATCATAATTACTCTGACATGCGCATTCCGGGCCCTGGGAGTAATTTCCCAACTCTAGGAATTTGTTGTGAAGAAGACGACGAAGACGAAGAAAATAATTGCTACTATTTTGCTCCCGATGCGTGTGGCGCACCATGTCGAGGCGCAAGCAGGCGAAGCCCCAGCACATCCATTCCGACGAGCAGCAACCCCAGGATGTAGCGAATGGTGAGCCTAAGCCCGGAGCAGCTCCGGGCAATTACCAACTTTAATTGATGGGCAAAAGAAATCCAACTAAGGAGTCGGGTGGGTGGAGGTGGGGGGGGGAAGAAGTGTGTGTATGGGGGTGTTGCTCGCTTTTGTGTGCGGGCGAGTGGCTTCTGCTCTCATCCTTGAACGCCTTGGGGACTGCGA